CTTGGCAGGCACTTAGGCTGTTCAGGCTTACTTAGGCTGGCTTAGCGGCTTAGGGCTTAAGGCCTGGTTTAGCCTGGCTTGACAGGGCCAGGCTTAGGGCGGCTAGGCCAGGCTTGGCGGGCCATTTAGGGCCCAGGCTTAGGCTTGCGCAGGCCCGGCTAGGTCATTTAGGCCTATAGGGCCTGGCTAGGCTTGGCTTTAGGCCTACCCGGCCTTAGGCCTGGCTTCAGGGGCCTGGCTTAGCCGGCCTGGCTTAGGCTTGGCTTACCGGGCCTACTTAGGGCCTACTTAGGCCCGGGCTTAGGCTTGGCTTAGGCTTGGCTTAGGGCTTAGGCTTAGGCCTAGCTTAGGCTTGCTTAGGCTTGGCTTAGGCCTGGCTTGGGCTTGGCTTAGGCTTGGCTTAGGCTTGGCTTAGGCCAGGCTAGGGCTTGCTTAGGCTTGGCTTAGGCTTGGCTTAGGCTTGGCTTAGGCTTGGCTTAGGCTTGGCTTAGGCTTAGCTTAGGCTTGGCTTAGGCTTGGCTTAGGCTTGGCTTAGGCTTGGCTTAGGCTTGGCTTAGGCTTGGCTTAGGCTTGGCTTAGGCTTGGCTTAGGCTTGGCTTAGGCTTGGCTTAGGCTTGGCTTAGGCTTGGCTTAGGCTTGGCTTAGGCTTGGCTTAGGCTTGGCTTAGGCTTGGCTTAGGGCTTGGCTTAGGCTTGGCTTAGGCTTGGCTTAGGCTTGGCTTAGGCTTGGCTTAGGCTTGGCTTAGGCTTGGCTTAGGCTTGGCTTAGGCTTGGCTTAGGCTTGGCTTAGGCTTGGCTTAGGCTTGGCTTAGGCTTGGCTTAGGCTTGGCTTAGGCTTAGGCCTAGGCCTCGGCTTCGGTTGGGTTTTTTAACTGAAACATGTACATTAACGAAAACCATAGGTATAAGATATGTTTTTTCTGATTTTAAGTTCCAATAAATAAAAAACAATTTTTTTTTGTATTAAGAATTCAAGTGGAAAAATCAAACTTTATTAAAGCTTCCATTTTATTTACAAGAAAACTCCTCGCAGCACGCGTCATACATGGCAATCCCATTTTCGGAGGTGCTGAGCGTGCCCTCGTCCTGAAATACTTCGCGTTTTACACGAAATCGTTTGAATTTTCGGGTTATTAATTATACAGAAAAAATCTAGTTCCGACCTAATTTTCTGGACTTCCAAAAGCTCCACGGTGCACTCGGTCGGCTCGTCCCACCCGGCGTGCACGTGCAGCGCGTTATCCCCGCAGCCGCACCCGCGCTCTTGCACAAACCGCTTGGGGCCCCTAGATTTTCTCGCATAGAAATGATTATTCTTTTTATAACTTTTCCCGATGCAGCATACAGTAGTCACAGTCGTCGCCGCAGTCTATCTCGTCGGGCTGGAAATTTTCGAGCTTTTCAACTTGTTTTCCGAAGATAAAATTTTCTAATAAGTAAGGGAACTGTTTTTAAACTGTTTTACTAGTTCTAAGCGCGCAAAAATTAACAAGTTTTTACTAAAAAGAACAAAAAATCTCGATTTTCCGCTAAAAAAAGATCGATTTTCGATCAAAGTTTGGACTAGAACATTTTTTCTGAATTTGTTAGTGTTTTTGTATTTGAAATGTAGCTAAATTTTGCTAAAAACAGTATTAAAATGCTTCTCATTAAGCTATGAGGCATTTTTGAATTTCCAGGAAAAGGTTGGTTTGGGATTTCGGATAAATTCAATGACCAGACTCTAGTTTTTAGTGCGAAATACCGCAAAAGCTACCTCTAAAAAACAAACAGCGTTTTTTTGAAACTCGGTTCAGGTTTATTATAATACCAGCGCTGACCCCCCGCTACGCGGCGGTTCAGCGCTGGCCCTCCCCCGAAAAAAATTTGAATTTGGAATTTGAATGCCGGATTTGGCTGAATTCCCGGTCGCGCGAACGGACGGACATTAGAAATTTACCAGGGTTGAAAAGCCGCTACGCGGCTTTTCACCCCTGGCCTTTGCGCGGGGATCTTAAGCCGTTGGGCACTTTGCATAATTCTAGCGATGAATGCCAACCTCTCAACCTTAACAATCACAAAAGCGACCGACTGAGAGCGTGACAAAATCCAAAATGAGCCTCCTAGGGCCTCGTATGCAAATGAGGGCATTTCCTTATGTTTTTAAAACACTAAAATAAGGTATAAATCGTCATTTTCTTAAGAATCTGATAAGCGTGCCGTAATCTACGCCCTCGAATACCCCTAAATACCTTTCGACTGGGCCCGAAAACCCTTCCCCCATCGCGATATCTTGGTAACCCGGTTTTTTCGAGTCATTTATGCAAAGTGTCCACAGACACACACACAGACACTACTTTTTTATATATAGTAGGATATATAGTAGATAATTTTACATTTAATTTGATAATGGATAAGAATTCTGAACTTTTAACGCTTCAGGTGAGCCCAAACCTAATGCATCTCGGCTATTCTTTATCTTACAGGGATGTAAAGTATACCAAAATACTCTCCTGACCAAGACAAACATTTTGGTATACTTTACAGCCTAGCGATAAAGGGTAGCCAAGTTACAAAAGTTGGGGTCATCTGGAGTTGGCCGGAGTGTCACCCGATGTAAGGCACACTCCAATACTCACCGTATCCAACGGCTGCTCATCCTTCATTGTGATCTGACATTTAATAGCGAGTGATACTCCAATAAGCGCGAGCAAAATAATCAATCTCATCGCGTTGGTTTGGTTTGCTGATCGCTGTTTCCGGAGAGTAGCCGAGACCCGGATTCTCCCCACCTATTTATCCTCAATTTCCGCTCCCCGCGTGTTTTGCGCCCGCCTTTCGGGTGTACCCGTTATTTGCCAAACGCACGAGCACAAAAGTCGCTCTCAATTTTTGGGGAGCCCAGGTTTTGCTCGCCGGGGCGGCCTTTGGACAAGTTGAAGGTCAAAGGTGACTCGATCAAAGAGTGTAGACGGTGCACCCCAGACTAAAGACTAATTTGGCAAATATCCGGGTCTGGGAAAAGAGAAGAAACGCTGCTTGGGTTTTGGGAAATGTGATGAAATGGCTAAGAGTTTTGGGGTTGAGTATAGTCCGGTCAATGACTAAATTGGCAAATTCTCTGCTCTCGGCGAATGAGATCAGGCCCATCAGGATGGGATCTAACTTGAGCTTGACAAAAGAAAAACGTGGTGATCATCCGTAGGCTGATCTGAGCCTGATCCTGCTCCAAGTTTGGCATTAAAGATAGAGGATGAGTACAGCCTTGGAGGCTCCTGAAAGCTAGAGCAAAGCCGTATTTTAAAAGACTAAATCAGGCTATTTGAAGGTTTTCGGGTGATTTGGGAAGGATTCACTTAATGTGTAAGCGATATCCCAAGTATACAGAGATCAAATCAAATCAAAAGTTCAAACTCCCCAGCATTAACTCCCTAAAAAATGGAAATATTCGAAGTATGCTCAATAATTGAAACCACAATGCAAAATTCCTTGTAAACGGCGATATTTGCAAAATCCCGGAGAAAACAACGAAATACACCAGTTTACGGTCTTACGGAATTCACAAATATGCGGATTTGGAGCTATTGATTTTGGGGGGCATCTTTTTTTGGCGCCCAGTGTTAGGCTTAGGCTTAGCTTTGACTTCGCGTACGCTTGGCTTATACTTAGCGTAGGCCTAGGCTTGGCTTAGGCTTAGGCCTAGGCTTAACTTGGGTAGCTTCGACTTGGAGACATGCTTAGGCCGGATAAAACCTCCAAAAAAAGATGCCCCCCCCCCCAACATCAATAGCTCCGAAAATTGAATGATTTCCTCATCAAAATTCTGAAAAATCGAAATTGAATTAGTTTTTTTCGCTTTGCTGCCTGAAATCCCTTTCATTCATCCTTGCGGTTCCCAAAATGTTTCCGTAACAATGACAATCAGTAATAATCTTACAAGGAGTCGCTTTTAGGTGCTTTTGGAGTTTCTGGACGGGACCTAGCTAGTTCGATAGAGAAAAAAATTCTGAGCAACATCCCGTTTTCAAAAAGTGCTGTTCGATAAAGGTGCTTTAGAAAATTCAATTTAATTAAAAATGTTCCCGGTTTACCGAACCATGTGGTGATTTGAGGTGATTTGCGTCGGTCGACCGCCCCTACCACATGGGGACTTCACGCGTCCTGGATCCCGTCCTAGGCATGGCCAAGTGGCTAGTGCGTTGGCCTACGATTTTTTTTAGCCTTTTGCCACAAGTTCGATTCTTACTTATCGTTAACTTTTTGCTTTTTGCTTATGAAAACTTTATGTACCGCTAACGGGCTCAAGAACCAAAAAGCAAAGGTTTAGCCAGCGCGAAGATTCGAACCCGAGGCAAAAAATGTTAAAAAGTTGGTAGGCAAGCGCGTTACCAATACGCCAATGCAATCTGTGGCCTTGCCGGAAGGTTATGAATGGCGCCCCGTCCAGCCCCGAAAACGACGTGAACCGAGGAAATGAACCCGAAAACTAGAAAAAAGCGCGAACTTTACATTAAATTTTCTAAAACACCTTTATCGATCAGACTTTTTGAACACGGGATGTTGCTCAGAATTTTTTTTCTCTATCGAACTAGCTAGGTCCCGTCCCGAAACTCCAAAAGCACCTAAAAGCGACTCCTTGTTAGTTTATCACTAGGTTTCCGACGGTTTTTCTGAATCCTTGAACGGCAATGGCGCCAATGGTGCGGCGGCGGCCAGGTGTACGTTTTTGAATCCGCGGGCTCGGGATAAACGCGATGAAATTCGGCGAGAAACGACTTGGTGCGGCGGGGCGTCCTACGAAAATCTTATCAAATTGATCTGATTCCATTGTATTCTTCTTATTAAGAAGTTTCATCAAGTTTAGAACTTCAACTTCCGAAAAATGTTAGATAAACCATGATGATGGCCTAGAAATAAGTAAAAACTATGAAAATCATTCGATAGCCCGTAATTTGACCAATTTTCCTTTTCCAAGACAGTTTTACCGCAAATTTTATCAAATTCCATCCGCTTTTAGGCAAAATGCGTATGACGGGCAAGCGCAAGATGACCAAAGGGGTCCTGTCGCCAACCAGAATCTTGTCCGCCTCGGTAACGCCGCCATCAGCTGATTCTCCTGCTCCCGCGGCCAAGAAAAATGTTTGCGAGGTTTGTATTTTCTTTTTAAGGATTTTAAGTTTCAGATTTTTTCATTTTTCATAAAAGTTTTTTTTAGCACTGCAAGTTCGTCGTGGCGCCGGGACTCGAACCCTTCAGAAGCTCTCAAAGAATCGTCTGGCACTCGATGTCGCACTTGCCTTGGAATCGATTCCAGTGCTCAGGTTAGTCTTTATTACTATTATTATTAATATGAAAGATTCGCCTTTACAATTTTTTCAGTATGCAAGCAGTGTGCCGCGCAACGAGGAAGCGTCCTGCGCCATCAGAAACGTCACCACGGCGGCGACGGCACGGTTATTGACATGTCGTAAGTTTCCGGACATTTCTAGGATTCGATCTTCCAAATAGAAACAGCGGAACGGTTTCTTGGCTGTTTTTACTGTTTTAAACATAAAAACCCTACAACTTTTGATTAAAACTACGAAAATTACCGACTTTTCGACCTGACCAGTTCTCAACTAAAAAAAAATCAGAAGTTTCCTTGTTGTTTTTCCAATCAAAAGTTATTGCCCAGAAACACCATTAAAAGTCTAATATTAGGTTACCAAGCAAGAACCGGGCTTATAGGAAAAAATTTACCCCCAAAGAATGCGAAAGAACCAATTTCGGAATTTCAAAAATTTCGTTAAAACGGATATCAATATATTTTCGCATCATTTATATCGTTATTTTTTTGTTTCTCAGCACCCCCGAGTACTTCGACGCGTTGATGAAGACGGCGTGCCTCGGATTTCCGCTCCAGACCGAGGAGATCAAGAAAAATGTGGCCAGCATCCGGAACCAAACGCTGCAGCGTGAATGGCTGGACGAAGAGCCCATCGAAAATCAGTGCAGGGTAATTAATAACTTAATCGAAAAGAAATTATACCATATTCAGAAGTGCGGCAAGCGTATCTTGGCGCAAGCCGGATCGGCGCTTCTGCGCCACGTTACCACTCATTTTGGAGGACGGCCCTGGAAATGCTCACGTGAGTTTCAATCAACTATAAGAATTCAGTAGTGGTGTCTGTCTGTCTGTCCGTCCGTCAGAAGCCAACTATAACTCGAAGGGGAAAGGAGGTAGAGCTTAGGTCTCTTCGGATTTGGATAGAGCGTAGTCAGAAACCCCTTAAATGATCAAAAAATTATGAAAAAGTTTTTTTTTAAATAAAAATAATTGACTTTGAAAGTGGCGCCTTAATAAAACGAGTGGGGGCCCTCTCCTCGGGAGGCCACGCCCCCTTTCCGCGCCCCCGTCCCCAAGCCCTTTCCCGCGCCCAGATCGCTTTTTTCAGTTGTTTTAATACTTTTTAATTATTTTAATTCATTATTTAAAGCGTTTAAAGTATCTACGGCCATCACAAAGGGAGGGGGAGGGAGCGGAAGGGGTAGCCCGGAGTCCAGCCGCTTGCAGCGGCAAAGCCGCTGTAAGCGGCTGGTTTTCGAGAATATTAAAGCGGAAATGTAATACGTAAATTGTGTATTTGGCTAATTATGCAAAATAAGCATTAAAAACTGGTTTTTTTCGCATTATCGAGGGAACTAACTTTGAAGGCGCCATTTTTCTAATATAAATAGATGAATCGGCACAAATTTTGATTAAAAACACGAAAAATACCAATTTTTGGATGAAAATTTGAACTAAAAAATGTGTAGGAGTTTTTTATTGTTTTTCCACTTAAAATATGTTTAAATTTGCCAAAAAGATTATTAAAACACTTACTATTACTTTACTGTAGCTGGTCACATCTTGAAAATGCTGAACTGTCACCATGAGAATTGGTGATTTGCTGTAGATGAAAAAAATGAAACGTGAAAATTATTTAATTGTCCAATTATCTAAAATAAACATTAAACTTAATTAAATATTTAATTTAGTGTGCAAATTTCGCGGCCGGGCACCTCGGCATATCCGCCGGCACCAGGAATCCATGCATGAATCGAAGGGAACGGCAGTAAATACCAGGTTTGTCCAACACGTTTTAGTCCTGAAAATTTACTTCCAGAGCCCCAGATTACTACAAAAAATTGATGCAAGGCGCAAAAAGAGTGCTTCCCGCTGCAGGACGACCAGCTGAAATACGCGCTGGAATGCATGCGAAATGACCGGAGAGGAGAGGGAGATGGAGAAGGAGACGATTCCGGGGAGGACGAGCACTATGGTGAATTGACCGATGATGAGGAAGATAGGGCGGAAACGGTTTGTTTTTAAAGAAATTTATACGAAAAAAATTAGGATTCCACCGCTCAGCCCACGCGAAGGTCGCAGCGGCTCGTGAAGGCTTCAGCCGCAAAGCGCGCCTATGATGAGACGCATGAAGATGAAGGTACTGCATTGTATACATTTACAAAATTTCCAATGCAATTTATTTGCTAAAAATAGCAGCATCTCGACTTTTTCAGAGCTTGACGCTGAAAATCTGACCTATGACGAAACGGCATCTCACTATGATCAGGATCAATCTTTTAACGATCAGGTGAGCTTTGAAATTATCGAAATTTCGGTACTGTGCTGTTACCGGGGGAGGGATTTTAGCAGGTAGGCAACCAATTTTTCTTTTTTTGCTGATAAATTGATAAAAATACGTATTTTCATAGTGTTCTTAGCCGTTTTTGATAACTAGAAAGTTAGCAAAATATTTAAGATTTTGCGAAAGTGAAAATGTGGACGTCTTTGATACATTTTTACCAAAACGTCTAAAATTTTCAGAAATGCACAGATTTTTTGATCCGCCCTTATCTGAAAACTGTAAAAAAATGCACTAAAAATTTGTGTGTGGAGCCGCATCGAATTGTATAAAATGTTGTTTCCCTTACTAAACCCCCCCCCCCTGGTAACACTCCAGTACCGAAAGTTCTATAGGTATTTTTCATTTTTGTGATTTTTACGACATTTTGTTGCGTTTAGTCGCTAGACCCGGCCCCAACGCCAGACACAACAACCAGCCTTCGGAAAAGAATCAAGCGTGAAGCAGCTGGTAAGATCGAGCTTCGAATTGCTTCACTTTTTTCGTTTCAGAAACCGACAATCGGAGCTCATCGTCGGGTCTTGAAAGCTTGTTGCAAACACAGGTATGAAAATTGATTCGAGAATGCACCGTAACCTCTTGCTTCAGAACCTCCATCTCCTCGAAGAAAATGAAGCGCTCCGGAAACAGATTGTCAAGCGTGACCAAGAGATTGGCGAGCTGCAGATGAAGCTCGCAGAAGCGGAAAGGAAAGCGGAAGAGAGATTGAAGGTATATTCAAAAATTATGAGCTGTATATAGGTTTCAGACTCCCGAGGAATCGGATAAAAAACGAGAGGCGCAGAAAGAGGTTCGTTCGTTTTTGAAAACTGAAACGTATGTTTTTCAGCTGCTCGGCCAGCTCAGCTACGAGAACCGGGAGATGAAGCGCGAGATCGAGGAGCTGAAGCGGCGCAAGAACGTCGAATAGAAAACAAATAGAGATTGCTATTTTGGTCACCTTGTTACGCGTGTTTTGTTGATTTCACGGGTATTTGTTGCTGCATTTGTTGTTTCTTTGTTGCCGTTCAAATAAAACTTAACTTTAGTTTTTGAAATCAGGTCTTCCCCGTAATCCCGTACGGCACTAGAAAGAACGATACGCCATTTCCTTAGATCATATATCATTCGATAAACAGCTCAGAAAATTTATGAAAGATGTTCGAAAATAATTGTGATTTTTTCGTCGAAATTATAGCAAAATCACAAGAAATATCAAAATTTTCGAATTTTTCAGAATGTAAAAAAATTTTTGTAACTTCTTAGCTAATCAAAAACTGCTAAGAACATTACAAAAATACAATAAACATTATTAACAGGTATAGGTCGAAGGATTATAAATAAACTTTGTAACTTCGTAATTTTTTACCTTTTTGTCGTCTCTGCCCGAAAACGAGCCTTTTTTCCTTTGAAATTTTTTTGAACTTTCCAGATTTGAAAACCGCGTAAAAATTCTATAGAAGTTGTTTTATTTTGTTAATGGGGGCCGTCCGCGTTGCTGGGAAAATTTGGTTTTTATCCCGCGAAAGATCCCCCACCGCTAACAGTCCAGTACCAAAATGCCCTGCTCCCTTTCCTCTGCTCCTGAAGCGCCGTGTGTGATGGTCGATGTCTTGGAATCCCCCCCCCCCGCTAACAGGCCAGTACCGGAGATTTTTCCTGCTTCCTTTGTGTTCTAGATTTTTGGCCGAACTAGGTCAGGTCAGGCCAGGTCAGCCACCTGGTCAGCTATTAGTGTGTTATTACCATTAGTGTCGTTCGTGAGTATAGTATTACTATCAGTATCAATCGACTACCTGAGCTGCCATCTGCTATCTACAAATGGCCTGCGGTGTTGCAGTAGCCTAACTGCCCCCTCTCATTCTCCCCTTCTCTCTCCCCACCGTTCTGCCCTCCCCGCGTAGAATCGATTGTCCACGTTCCGAGGCACCCTGGCCCCGCCACACTCAAACATTTATTTTCCTTCTCCCATTTCGGTGCAGCTCCAATTTCTGGCCTCGATTAATTCATACTAATAACGTTCTGCCGGCCCTGGCTTTTACGATTCACCTGTTGCTTTATTTTTTAGCGTTTCAGCACCTGAATTGCTTGGATTTCAAATGGTTGCTCCTGGTTACCGTGGCTTACGGGAACTGCTTTGCGAAAATGGCCCTGTGTTTCGATTTTCTGTCGATTTCCGGGGTATATTTGTGGAGCCTATTCCTGTACCTCATTTTCATGTATTTTTTAGTCTAGTGAAGGCCAAAAATAACACTGAAATTGCGTTTTCAACGCGTTATTTTTGAGCTTGCTTTTGAGTGTGATTTTGTGCTCGGGTGAAACCTTTTCAAATGTATTTTTCACGGCGTCCTTAAACTTTCCGCAGGAGAACTGTATCTTCCCGCCAATGCTCTTTAGATCCGGCTTACAAGCCGTGTACCCTGATAACGCTAGTCTCCGAGTGAGTCTGCGTTTTCAGAAACGTAAAGCCTTGTATAACTTTCGTATTAGTATATTTAGTTTAGTATTTCCAAGCTTTTTGCAATATTCTGCAAAAGAGTGTTTCCATAGTTTCGTGCATTTTTTCTGACCGGCGTTCTCAATTTTATGAACTTGCCTGGGCCTCAAAAATCACCCCAAACTCTCCCTTTTCAGGTAAATCTTGACCGGCGACTGTTTTTACTTGTCGAACTTGCCGAACTCGCTGAAAATGTCGTACAACAACTACGACAACGGGGGCAGCTATCAGAATCGGAGCTACGGAGGTGATGGCGGAGGCCGCGGAGGCGGATACCACCAGCGCATCAACGAGGAGGATGTGCCCGAATCGAAGCATACCGTCTTCATTCGTGGTCTGCCTGGCAGTGTTAGCACGGAGGAGATTCGGTTCGTTTTAAAAAAAACCTTGTTATTTTGATTTAATTTAATTCATTTTAATGTTAATTAGTTTATTGGGACAGTACGGTTCAATTTTCACGATAAAATTGCGAAACAAACGGTCCCTCTGCATTATCGGGGGGGGGGGTTTAGTTCCACAATTTTTCCAAGATGCTAAACTGGATGCTCAAAAAAGAATTAGGCTTGGGCTTAGGTTTAAGTTTAGAAAAAAAGGTTAGGCTTAGGCTAGGGCTCGGGCGTAGGCTTGGCTTGGGCTTAGGCTTAGGCTTAGGCTTAGGCTTACCCGCCGCTTGTTAGCTTAGACTTAGGGTGCGACTTTTAGGCTTAGGACCAGGGTTGGTCACAAAGGATCCGGTCCGCGGACGGTCCGCGGTCCGGTCCGGTCCGGATCGGTCCGAGTGGATCCGAGAATTTCGGACCGGACCGGACCGGACCGGACCGGACCGGTCCGGTCCGGGCTGAACACAAAGGACATGATTCAGGAGCCAGGTATGGAAAATTTTGTATGCAAAATACTACTCTCTAAAAATCCCACATATTTTTGGACATCTAGGCTACTATCCGTCGCGTATATCGCCAACAAGTAATGGGGAATGAATAATTTTATAAATTTTTGATTAAGCGATCCACATTGCGTCATTTTTTCGTACGCCACTCTTTTGCAATCAGAATTTGCATGTTGCATTTCCGTTTCTCCTAGCAAATCAAGACCCCTCGGTCCGCCACGGACCGGACAGGTCCGGTCCGGTCCGGTCCGGTCCGGTCCGGATGGAAATTTCGGACCGGACCGGACCGGACCGACCCCCCGGACCGGACCGGATCCGATTAGGATCCAGCGTGACCAACCCTGCTTAGGACCCAAAAACCGAAAATCATCCGTACTTTCCCAATAAACTTTTCAGAGGGTAACACTGACAATCTGGTAATTGATGGCCGGCAAAAACAGGTGTACTTTCGGGGTCCGCGGCTTAGGCTTAGGCTTAGGCCTGGGCATCGGCTTAGGCCTAGGCGGCTTAGGCCGAGGCTTACCCGCCGGGCCCCGAACCTCCACATTCCATTCCATTACGAGAGTCGCCAATTTCAGCAACAGTTCTCGGTGTCCAACATTATCTATATGCTTACCAGTGTGACCGTTACCTTAAAAATAATCACTCTGTGGCTACGATGGATCCTCGAAATTTTGAGGGCGAATCTCGAGCCTCGAAATCCCCGGGAAAGAGCCTCGAAGAAAATTAGCCGGCAGCAGCCCTTTTTGCCTAATGCTCTACGTCCTGTGTTTTTGATAGCCTAATCAGATACCGAGTTTTTCTGGCTCTGGATGCCTTTTGGATGGGTGAGTGGTAAGAGTTTTCGGCGCCCGAGAAACGCGCACTAACAACCGTTTTTTACCGGGTTTCACGGAGCAGCAGCAGAGTTTCGGCCTGGTTTTTGGATTTTGATCCGGCCGGAATTTTGCCGAACGTTGCGCGACTAACCCCCGATTTTTCAGAGATTTTTTCAACGACAAAATTGGCCCATGCTCATTCGATTTCACGAAAATCTCGCCGGATCGCAGCCGACTGTTTGTGGCGGTTCGCTTTGAATCGCGGGAGCATGCCAGGGAGTGTATGGATGAGTGAGTTTTTTTGTCCAAGCCTGGTTCTTTTCCGTTATCGGGGGACTAATTTCCCCACCAAGAAATTCCATGTCCATATGACGAAATATCAATTTTTTTGAAAATTTTGCACATTTTTTTAATATACAAGTTGAGAACAATTCGAAAAAATGCAATTTTTTGACGTTTTCGGCAAAATCACGGAAAAATTACGAAAAATATAAAAATTTCGTCCTTCTAAAATTACAAAAATGAATTTTTAAGCTTCCAGCAATGAAAAACTAATCAAAATCCTAAAAATGTACATTCTAAGCTGAAGCGAAGCCTAAACTAAGCCTAAGCTAAGCTAACGATAAATCAGAAAAAAAAACCCAAACGCTATTTATTATCAACCGATGAGTACAAGCGGAAAATAGAAATTAGCTCCCCCCCCCGTTAAGCGTAAAGACCCCCAATCCGTACAAAATATCTTTTAGATACAAAGACCGGGACCTTCTTGGATACCCCTGTGAGATGACATGGTTTCGCGACATCCGCCGCTACGCCTCCTACCAGGCAGCCCAACAAGGTAGAGGCGGCGGTAAGAATACCCTAAAACTTATCTATTTATATACTATCGATTGGTGAACGGCACATTACTATTGCTTATCCTAAAACCGGTCAGGTGACATTTTCCTAACCATCCAGATGCAAATTCTAGCTTAAACTATATCTTTTAGCCGCTCTTCGAAGCCGTGGTCGTGCTCGTTATAGTGGCGGGATGAATCGCGGCTATGATAGGTATTTTAATCTTTAAATCCATTGACTTGTGCATTATTTTTTAGGCGCGATGAGCGTAAACGCCGACGCTCACGCTCAGACGAATCCTCGCGCTCCCGCTCCCGCTCCAGGAGCCGCTCGAGGAGGTCGAGGTCGAGGAGGTATCAATTTTCTTTAGTCACCAGAAATTTATCCTAGCCGCTCCTCCGGCAGCTCTCGCTCGAGGTCACGCTCACGCTCGCGCTCCAGCCGCGGCGGATACCGCAGAAATCGCTCACCGGAAGAGGATTCGGAGGACGAGCGGCGTCGCAAGAAGAAGGAGGAGAAGCGCGCTCGCAAGGCGGCCAAGAAGGAGTAGATTTTGGACTTGCAATCTTTCGACAAAATGACTTCGACATCTCCTACAAGTTCTTCTATATACTGATTTTAGGAAACGTCGCAAGCGTAGCGTCAGCGGTTCCCCAGTTTCCGAAGACGGCTCGGATCGTGAGCGTTCGAGGAGGGAGAAGAGCCACTCGCGGGTCTCGTCCAAGGAGCCGACGAGGGAACGTTCGGAATCACCGCTTCGCGTCGGCGACCCGAAGGTACGGCCCTCAAAAAGCATTAAAAATAACCTACAAAACATAAACGCCATTTGAATCGTCTTTTCAGATTGGTGGCAACGACAAAGACATCAAAATTTCGATCACCATGCCGCCGCTGCCGAATATCGAACTGCCGCCCCCGGTGCAATCCGAGACGGCCAAGCAACTCCAGAATACGAAGATCCAATTCGGGCTGGAAGGGGTAGGTCAATACGAATCATATTTAAACCGTTTATTTAGCCGATTTTTCGGTAAAAAAAAGTAAAAAACCCGTTTTGTTAGTGCTTGTCCTGGAGCTTTGGCATTATCGTGTTTGGTAAAATTAGGCGCCATTTTAATTGGCAAGCCAATCACAAAAACTTAAAAAAACTTCTTTGGTAAAATTTTGGTCGAAAATCGGCCGTTTTTGGTCGAAAAGTCGATATTTTTCATGTCTAACCAAAATTTGTAAAGTATTTAGGCTTAAGAATAGTAAAAAAAACAGTTGAGAAAAAAGATCCTCTAGTTCCGGTTAGAAAATACGGATTCTTAGAAAAAAAAGAAAAAGAAAAATCCTGTTTTAGGACTCGAAGCCGATTGTCAAGAACGACTTGCTGAAAAAGGACCCGGCGCCGCCGCCCGCCGAAGAACCCATGGACATTGAAAAAGGTATGGTTTCACAAAGTAGCCTTAAAACTTAACTCAAGACACAAAAAAAAGTATTTTTTGGCCTTTCAGAACCCACCCCTCCACCAACGCCAGTCTCGACCCCGGTGTTCACCCCGGTGTCGACTCCGGTGCCCAAGCCTGCCCCTGTCGAACGTGTCGCCCCCACACCGCCAGCAGTCGTGGCCCCAACGCCAACACCGCCTAAGCCAGTGTTCCATTCCCGGCCGGCTCCGCTACATTCGCACGTGCCGATGCCGCCGAAGCCAGCGCCAATCCCACCTCCACCCCCGCAGATGCAGCACATGACCCCGCCGATGCCGCGGTTTAAGGTAAGTATTACATTATTACTCAGCGTGGTAACGAAAATTACATCTACATCAATTATTACATAAAAAACGAACGCAGTCAATCGCAAGAAGACTCAAGAAATTTCTCAACGTTGAACAAACCAGGGCTCAGGGTTGTCTGAAAATTTGCACACAGATAGAGTCGAAGGTGCTGATCATCATCTCGATTTCCGAATTTACTACCGCTTCGAAATTCTCACTTTCTGACTCACGAAACCACGAGCTCGAAAATCCCCCGCCTTTCTCACGCCTTCCTTCCCATTTGTCACCCTCCAATTACAGCCTATCGAGCCGGAACCGTCACCACAGCCGGTAGCCCCAACACCTCCAGCCGTGGCCGTCGCTCCTAGAAACGAGGCACCCCCTCCGGCTCCTTGTGCCGTATCGGCCGCCTCGATTCAGCTGCCACCTCTCCCTCCGGCTCAGCCTCCCGCGCCTGTCCCCGCGCCCCCACCGAAAGTACACCGTCAACACGCGGCTGCGATGAATGGAGAGGTGCGTCAGATTTTGCGGATTTTTATTAGGATGAGGGGCTGTGAAAAGGTCGACTAGCAAAGTCCATTTGGGATTGTTTATCCCGGTTACCAGAACACCATCTGAAAAAGCTAGCCGAAAACTAGCAAAGACCATTTGGGAAAATTTATCATTCGGGAAATTATAGCAATTTTGTTCCTTGAAGAGGACATTTTCGGGTGCGATTTTTATCTTACATGAAAAATTTTCTCTGAGAAAAATTTGTCTGAGAAAAAGTCAACTAGCAAGGACCATTTAGGAAAATTTATCATTTGTGAATCCATATAATTTTGCAGTAGCGTAAAAATGACATTTTCGGGTAATTTTTATGCGTCGAAATTTGCTCGGGCAGCCAGCTGAGAAAAAGTCAACTAGCACCATTTGGGAATTTTTCTACGAATATACACAATTTTCGGAGGTCTATGAAGCTCGAATTTGCGAGGGTAATTTGCATAATTTGCATAACGCGAAAATCCAGTGAGTTATCCCGATTGTACGCACCCGTGCAGTTGCTTCGCAAGTAATTTGCATAACGTGAAAAATGTCAACATTTTCCGCAATGTTACGCGCTCGTGCCGTTGCTTTAGATGGTAATTTGCATAGCGCAAAAATCTCATCATTTTCCCGATTTTTGCGCGCTCTTACGGTCGCTTCTGAAATCGGAAACCCGTGGAAGAGAAAGCCAAGGCTGGGTGAAATATTGATTGAGAAGAAGGCGGGTTTGGAAAATAATTTTGAAACTTCTGACGTTTTCTGAGTTCGTAATTGGTTTTCTTGTCGAAAATCAGGTTTTTGGAGATTTTCCCGAAGCGATTTTCTTCTTGTTATAGAGAGAGTTGGAATTTTCGCTTTCCTGGGCTTATATGACGCTTAAAGAAGCTTAAATGGAAAAGTATCTGAAGAATACTTTTCTAGCTGCTCGCCTTGACAACAAAAACGAAACGAAATTGGTAGGCGCCAGCTTCCAGCTGCTGACAATATTCCCTGACGACCAGGGGTGTGGGGTTACGTGAGCCTAAGAGAGAACACCGCGAATCGAAAGGGGGCAGAGCACGAAAAGGCGAGATACGACGGGAAGGAGGAGAGCCCCGAGCCGAGACACCGAATACCACCCCGCACAGGGCACACCCCGGCGAGAGTGTGGGCCAAAGCCGGAGAGCCACGCGGTCGAATCAGCTCGAAAACGGGCCGCCCCCTCCGCCACTGCGCCGAATCGATCCCCGCTTCTTGCCGAACGCGCCGAATTCTGCCATTTTCGTCGAATATTGTCGGCTTCTTCTTGTTCTTTTTCTTCTTCGTATTTCCTCGATTTCGAATCTTTTCTCGACTTCGATTGGCATTTGAACGTTGTGTTTTTAGGCTACTCTTTCAGGGTTTTTGGGATTTCGAAAGGGGAAAACGTTTTTAAAAATCGCTCGAATTTTCTAATATGAAAAAGGAAAAACTACCGTGTAGAACCGAATACAAAAACTGTGCAAATTTCGATTGATAAAATATAATATCAGTTTTCGTTTCTTTTGCATTATCGGGGGGGGGGGAGCGGTTGGCCGAACTTTCTTGTAGACGTTTAGAAATCCTACTATATATAAAAAAATAGTGTCTGGGTGTGTGTGTCGATTTGCATGCAACTTCCGTCTGTATGTCCGGAGGATAACTCAATAGGGGATGAGTTTTAGGGTACGTATGATACATCATTAGGTGCGTAATGGCTCTGCGATGACTGCACACTTTTCAAAATTATCAAAATAAGCTATTTTTGATAGTAAAAATAAGTTTTTCTAAAATTTTCGGGAACCCTCTTTGTTAGGAAACAATTAGCATATACCGGAAGTAGAAGAAGCCTATATAAAGGGATGGAACAAAATCTTTTCATTTTTCTCAGCTTGATTGAGGCGGAATTATGCAAATTTTACAATTTCATTTGTCGAAACGGGGCCAGGGTTGAAAAGTCGCGAAGCGGCTTTTCAACCCTGGTGTTTATTAACGTAATAGTAAGGGTTTGAATCAAATCTTCAGTAAAAACTAACTATAATTTAAGTAAAAAAAATGGTAGAAAAATTTTTAGGGCAATTTTAGTCAAAAAGAGGCCATTTTTCGTAAAAAATCGTGGGTTTTTTTGTAGTTTTACCGAAAATTTATAAATTTATTACGTTTAGGAATATTTAAAATAGCTTGTAAACACTTCTTTTAATCGAATTAGAAAAATCGGATCCAAAGAAATAGTGTGTACCCCCGATGATGCAAAAGAACCCATTTTCGACCAAATTTTCAACGTTTTGCACATTTTATAAATTTTCGCAATAATGATAGACTTGGAATCCAGCTAAATTCTATTAAAAAGAACTAAAAAAAGGTAAAAACTAGCGTATTACCAGGCAGTTCTTGACTGATAGGAGAAGTCCCCCCACCCCCGGAAATACACAAGAACCCATTTTCCATATTTGCTTTTCGTTTTGCTTCTAAAAAGGTGTCAACTATTCCTTGAATCCATTCGTTCGATGAACTGCTCTGATCCTAGAATGGACGGCGCCGTAAGCGAGCTCGAGCCGGCCAAGGGTCTCCGGGTCCATTTTGTGCCCACCCGAAAGTACCAGAGCGTCAAGGTAAAGCCGTTGGCTTCGGCCGCTACGTGCGCTTTAGGCCGGCTCGAAAGGCGGCTACACGGCCGTCTTTGGCAACGTCGAGTACATGCACGACAAAGCGTACGTGCAGGCCAACGGCGAGGAGCGGTGGTATTGGCGGTGTATTCGCAAGTTCTGCAAGGCTCGCCTGGTCACAAGTACCGAAGGGGTGATCCTGAGCTGCCGCAACGAGCACACGCACTGTGAGATGGCCAAGAAACAGGTGTCGTTTGGAGCGGAGTGGAGCGTAGTTTTGTAGCTAGGATTAGGCTTGGATTAGGCTTAGGTTTCGGCTTAGGCTTAGGCTTGGCTTAGTCTTAGGCTAAGACTGGGGCTTAGGCTTGGCTTAAGCTAGGCTTAGGCTTGGCTTAGGTTAGGCTTAGGCTCAGGCTTAGATATAGGTTTGGCTTAGGCTTGGTTTAGGCTTGGCTTAGGCTTAGCGTAGCTTAGCTCAGGGTTGGGGCTCGCCCTAGCCTTAGGCTAAGGCTTGGCTTAGGCTTAGCTTCGCTTGGCTTAGGCTTGGCGTAGGCTTGGCTTAGGCTTGGCTTCGGCTTAGGCGTAAGCTTAGGATTCGCTTAGGCATAGGCTTAAGCTTAAGCTCAGGCTTAGATTTCTAAAGGGCATGCTCCATTTCGGCGAGCTTGACCTCCTTGAGAAGCCTGGCAGATCGCCAAAAACTTGTTAACCTCCTTTGTCCTAGCCGGAACCAATCAACGTGCCCGCCCAACCTCAAAACCACTTCGCCAACAACCCGGCGATGATGATGATGATGGGCGACCACCCGGACCTGTTCCAACAGCACTTCATGCCGCACTTCCCGAACTCGATGCCCCCATTCGACCAGTTCGACGTGAAGCCCGAGATCAACCGGCTGGCCTTCCCGGTCGGGCACCAGGTTCAACCTCAGCAAGCCGGGCCAAGTGGGCACTCGCCGTCGACCAGCTACGATATGCCGCTGGCGGATATGCTACTCAACTACTGTGTAATTATTTGGATTTCAACTCAACTTTGGGATTAGAACTGGGGGACATTTTGGGCTTGAAAAATTCCCAAAGGGTCTTTGCTGACCGGCCCCAATGGTCTATAAACGTAGGTTAGACGAAGGTAAATTCGGCAGGTTGCAAAAATTCCCAAATGGTCTTTGATAAATGCTTTAATTCTCCATAGCCCGGGGGAATCGATCCGACTCATCCCGATGGTGGTCTCAATTTCGATAAAAAACAACCTTACAAAGTTAAAGCCGGTTTTAAACATTTTTCGGTGTCCCAGGTCTAATTTGCAAAAACCTAAAAAGTATAAAATCCCTCATTCTTGCCAGCTGCACGCGCGGGTGCGGTCGGTTGGCCGGAGCTATATAAAAAAATCAAATATTATCTGCCAAACACCAATTCCAGCGCAAAACCCGCGAAGCGGTTTTGGAAAAAGTTTAGGAAAATTTTTCGTTTCGGGAAAAATTCCCCAACTGATCCGCTAGCCTGCTTTTTCTAAATTAGGTTAGACAACACGAGGCAGGTAGAAATCGGATTGAATAAATTCCCAAATGGTCTTCGCTAGCCGGTCTTTTCTAAAGTTAGGTTAGACGAAACTAAATAGATAAGTATTGGGTCAAGATTAGGCTGGAAAAGTTTGGAAAAGATCTTTGCTAGTTTTCTTTGCCTAAATTAGGTCATGAGAGGCCAAATTGGCGAGTAAAAAGTAAATTGTTAGAAAGTTAGAAAATTCCCAAATGGTCTTTGCTAGCATGCTTCGTGAGCAATAGGCAACTGAACTACTGCTACCAAAATAAGCAATAAAAAACTAGTTAAACCTCGATTTTAGGATGCCGCCAAGCAACAGCCTGCCAATGGGCAGCAAAAGTATGGGCTGACGGATCGGCTGCTCGGCAGCATCAAGGACATCCAGGGCACCATCGCCTCCGCCATCAAGTACGAGCCGCCCGAGGAGGAGGAGGGAGGTGAGCAGTGTTTTATCTAAATTTCTGCGCAAAAATGAAAAATGTTCTAAATCCCCTTTTCTAGGCACCCTCAAGCTCTCCTCGCTCGCCACCAACGCCGACGACGAGGACGACGCCGAGATGAAGAGCCTGGAGCGCGAGCAGCGACTCTCACTCCTCAACCAGATGCAGATGGACAAGGTCGAGCTGAAGAAGAAGCAGCTGGAGAAGGCGTTCAAGAGCGACTGCGAGACGTTCAAGATCGTCACGCTGAAGCTGCTCGGCAAGGACGCCGACCTGGAGAAGCCCCTACGGATTGCGCTTATGGAGGTGGGTTTTTGAAACGATGCAACTTTAGCTCGAGTGGAAAAAAAAACAATAAAAAGCATCGAAAGGCAATTTATGTAAAAATTAAAAACCGCCATTTAATATTTTTGTAATTTTTTCTCAAAATTTAAAAGTTTTTACGCTTAAGAATAGTAAAAAACGGCTTAAAAATCCGCTTGTATTGTACAAAAATTCCGAAAAAGAAAGGGAAGGATAAAAAAGTTGGGTTCCCCCGATACCCCCCCACTATCGCAAAAGGTCCCAAGCTTTATATTAAAAAAGATTGCAACATCTGCTTCTTTCCCGAACTAACGTTTTCTCTTCCAGGTGATGACCGACCTCGAGAAGCAGCTGCTCGAAAAGCTCGACGCGTTCATCGCCACCGTCTAACTTATTGCATCGTTATTTCCAGGATACAACTAATTTAAATGTTTGACAATCACCAAACCAATTAAAACCATTGAAGTACCCCCACAGGCCGAGATCTCGCCACTTCGAGACCCTCAACTTCCCTCCGTTTCTGTCCCGCCACCCGTGTGATTAGCCCTTATCTTCCAAGTTTCTCATTTTTCCATGTGATCCCCCAGAATCGGTTTCGGATGTTTGTTGGTCGGGAATAAAAACATTTTATTTGCTATAAAAACTCTATAAAAAAATACATACACAATATGGCTAGTAAGACTTTACCCTGGACGATTTCATGTTGTGCACGTAGAGGATGTTGAGCAGGACGACCAGCAGAAACAGCGAGCCGATCAGGTAGAGGCCACGGTTCTTGCTTTTCTCGCGTCGCAGCTCCTCCTCCGGGTTGATGAAGTGGCCTTGGGAGTGGGGCTCACTTGCGCTGAAACAGGATGAATTAAAAAGAAAAGTCAACAACGCATAAAAAAGCTTAAGCGACCAAAGATGGTTCTTTCGCATTATCGGGGGCGGGGAGGGGCACCCAATTTTTTTAAGCTTAAAAACATCTAGGAACCTAATAGGAAGTATTTTATTAGTTTTTGTTTTCGTAAAATATAACGATGCTTCAACTAGAAAAACTATTTACAAACTTCAAAAAAATTAAATTATAAATCTCTGGCAAAAACCGGCGATTATATACGATAAAAAATAGACATCTATTTGACGTTTTTATGTTTCGGAATAGCAATAAACAATTTAGAAAACTTCCTCTATTTAGATTGCAAAAGTTAGATCCAATGAAAAAAGTGGTCCCGCGATAATGCGAAAGAACCCAAAAAAGTCGTTTTAAAGACGCAAAGGAAGATTCTTCTTCATACCTCGCATCGCACTCGCCGAATTGGACACCCGATTCATCGCGCGTATCGTTTGGTCGTTGGCGGCGGCACGGGACACGGAAGCTTGGTGTAGATACCTAAAATTAAAGTTTTCAAATGCCTGAAAAAAAAAGTAAAAATGAACATTGACATTTTTGCGCTATTTTTTCGCCCTCGGCACTCTAATCGGCTTTCGGATGCAAATTTACAACAGTTTTTATCATTCTTTGGAAAAAACCCCATGGCGGACGGTCGGCGCAAACTGAAGTGGCGATTCCTTTTTTTGAAATGGCAAAGTTACATCACAAAATCTAAAGTGTCATGCAAATTTCCTCCAAAAATTTGAAAATAGAAAAAGCCCTTTTATCCTTACTGACCGTTCTTCATCCTACTTTTTTTCGAGCAATGGCAAAAACCACCAAAATTTGCAGGGAAAAGCCGAAAACCAGCCAGGGTTTTGGGTGAAAGTAATATCAAGAAACCGCAACATTTCCGCACTTGAAAAATCACCCTCACCCCTCTTGCTCAGACAGGAAGTACGTCTTGTCGTAGGCGCGGCGCTTGTCCGCTTTTCGCAGCGTGTCGTAAGCATCCTGAAAAAAATAGAAACCTCTCTCTACCCAAATACTAAGCGCACCTTCACATCCATGAACTGCTCGGTCTGCGATCTGCGGCTCCAGCCGACGCGCGAATCCGCGGGGGTCGAGGAGCCCGGGGCAGAGTCTGGATGGAGCTCCTAAACTTTCCAAGTCCCCAAAAATGCAAGTTTTCATACCTGTGTTCGTTTCACAAACGCCTTCTTGATGTCCTCATGGCTGGCCTTCCGGTCGACGCCAAGGATCTAAAAAAGGATTAAACTAGAGTTGTGATCAGGCCCGTACGAGGGGGGCACCGGGGGCACGGTGCCCCCCCCCCCGAAATCGGTCGAGGTCCGAAAAGTTCATAAGGGGGGACCCTTATGATTTTTTTCGCAAAAATTTTTCCGCCTGGGGCGCTGTTTATCACTGTTTCGAAACGATTTTTACTTCTAAAAAACCTATTTTTCTAAAATTTTTTGCCTGCGGCGCTCGTTTTCATTAGTGCACCATTTTTGCTCACAAAATCTCGCCTGGCGCCCCGTTTCCGATGTGTTTTCACACGAATTTAAGCGTTAGAAACGCGGTTTTTTAAATTTTTTCGCCTGCGGCGCTGTTATTGTCGCTATTTTCGAATGTTTTGAAAGTGGCGACCGGGGGGAGGTCGCCAAAAATTTTGGGTGGGTGCCCCCCCCCGAAATCTCGGCTCCCGTACGGGCCTGGTTGTGATCGACCCGGGTCGAAAGAAAAGGGTTCGAACATTTTCCTTTTCGACCCGGGACGAAACCAAAACTGAAGCGACCACGGAAGTTGAATTATCATCATAATCTCAAAAAACGGACCTCATAATAGTTTTTCTTGCGCTCAACGTAGGAGGCGTGTCGCCGAAACACGTGTAGTTGCTGGCGCGACCGGGCGAGCACGCTGGTTATCACCGACATTTCATTTTTAGGCCCACTAAAAACAAGTATAAATAGACTAAAGAAGTCGCAATAGCATAATAACACTTTCTATAAAAGCTTCACGACACTTGCGCGCCAAAATCTTTAATCAAACCGCTCCAACCTTGACGTTAGAGTTATTTTTCCGATAGCACGGGGACTATAAGTTTCCTAGCAGTTCCTAGCAAAATAAATAACCTTGAAAATATCATATTGGTTTGGAACAAAAGTTTCTGCGTGTTTTGAGCTCAATCTCCGCGCCAAAAATAGATCGGCATTCCCTAGCAACATATTTGGCGGTAGTGCTCAAACGAACTGAAAGGAAAGCGGCGATTTCACTCTAACCCATGAACTCAAAGAAATTTCAATGTATAAATTGAAGAAAGTGCTGCATGGAGAGAAAATATCTCTTTCGATATAAACGCAAAGGCTTAAGTTTCAGCCCGCAAGTGTCGGGCAGCCTCTTCTAACGCTTCTTTTCAATATACGGTTTCAACCTCGCTTTATTTGCAACTTCATCTACCTTACGTTGTAAATATTTATCAAAATAGCCGATGGCCGCCGAACAGATGCCAAAATCAACGAAAAGAGAGGTCCAATTGAAAATCACCGACAATTTTTCAGGGGGAACACATACACGATAACAACAAGAGATCCACGCAACAGTGTATGAACATGTGAAACTAAGGGAGCGCTTGGTTCTACATTCCGAATCGACGGGCGCTGCGCACGCTGCGACCGACGTCGGCCATCTTGATGCTGCCCGGGTGCTTGAAGACGCGCTCGCTCTCGACTTTACGTCTGGAAAAATCGGTTATTAAGTAGCTTTATAAAGACTACCAAGAACATTGATAAAGGCCAAACAAAAAAAGGCCAAAAAAACTAGGTAAATAACAGAAAAACGCACTTGTCCATCTCGACCTGCGCCTCCTTCATCTGGCGCTCCATGGTGGCCAGGTTGCGCACGCTTTCCTGGCGCTTCTCAAAGTGAGTTTGCCTTGACTCCTGGAAAGATAGAAGGTGATCTGTAAAAAGTACGGTCCGACACCTTGACGGAGTAGAACATGGGGCCCAGCTCGGCCAGCCACACCGGGTCGACGGCCGTCACGCACTGCATGTACTCCTTGGTGGTCATGATGATCTCGTGGTAGACCTAAAGCTTCGAAATTAGCGCTTCTCCCGAGTAATCAGCCAAGGTTCAAAAAACGGCTAAATACCAACCACATAATCCGGCATGAAGCCCATGCCAAAGAGGGCGGAAGTGGGATGCAGGAAACACGGGATACCCGTGCGAATGTTGACGTACTCGCCGATACCCTTCAGCCTGGAAAAAAGCGTCATCTTCAAATTCGACACCTTACCGAGCCGCATTGTGGAAATACGCCGAGCAGACGCACTTCCGGATGATGTCCCACTCGTGGCCGGTGCTGATCAGCTTCATCTTCTGCTGCTCGATGATCTCCTTCAGCTGGGCGCGCACCTCGCGTACCTAAACGAAACACAATGAATGCCCTGAAAAAGCCATTACCTTCTTCATGGCTTTTGCGTGAACGTAGTTGTCGACGCACCACTTTGACGAGTACTTGTGCTGCTTCCACTGGACGTAGACGTTCAGGAAGGTCAAGTGGTCGGACTCGGGGACCTAGGAAAATATTTGCAAAAATTTATTTCAGTTTCAGAGCTATTTTTAAGCATAAAATAAAGCTTTTAAAACCTTTTATCCAAGAATCACCTGGAACTTCTCCTTCTTCATGTCGGCCTCGTCCTCCTTGCCCTTGGGCCTGAAGAAGATGGCGGGCACGGAGAGCATGGAGACGATCGTCAGCACCTCCTCGCTGCAGCCCATCTCCTCGGACATGATCACCATCTTGGCCAGCGTCGGGTCCAGCGGGAATTCGACCATTTTTCTGAAAACAGGGATTTTAGGAAACGGGATTTCTGGCATACCTTCCAAGATCCGTGAGCTGCCCCGTGTTGTCGAGCGCGCCCAGCGTCCACAGCTGGTACATCGAATTGAGCATGTTGTCCTAGAAAATTTGGTGCTGGGCTGTTAGCGGGGGGGTCCTTAGCGGGGTAATCCCAATTTTTCCGAGTAAACCCGCACGGCCCTATAACGAAAAATAAACTGTATTGATAGCGTTTTTCACATTTTAGACATACAAAGCTCACAAATCGCCTGAAAATTGTTGACTTCTTCGTCAAAAAAGTATGAAAAATGGCCAAAATTTCCGAATATTCGGTAATTTGTTCAATATTTTTATGACTAACTAACTATCAAAAAACACCAAACACTATAAAAATATTTTTAATTACCAAATTAAAGCCAACGAATCTACCTGCGGCGGCGGGTCCATAAAGTGGAACTTCAGCAGGTCCTCGACGTGCAGCGACTTCAGCAGCAACACCACGTTGGATAGGTTGGTGCGCTGGATTTCGGGCACCTAAAATTACGAGGAAAATTATCAAATGCGCACCAAAGACTCACCGTGGCGATCAGCAGCTCGTCCTTGAACTGCCGTTCAGTGTAGAGGCGGAAGCACTGCCCGGGGCCCGTGCGGCCGGCACGTCCGGAACGTTGGTTGGCCGACGCTTGC